GCTGTCACAACATCTTGTTTCATTCATTTTAAATCCATTGTGGGAGTCGTGTGGAAGTCCCAGTGTTCGTGCACCAGACTGCGTGTGTTTGAAATTTGTACATAATCGAGAATATCTCTGGAAATAGATAGCTAAGAGAAGGCGGCTTTTTTGACTCTCCAAAAGAAACATTAAACCAGTAAATAATGTTTCTTTTGGAGAGTCAAAAAGTCCTGTAAGTCCTGCTGAGAGCTGGTGAACATGTACTGCTGGTGTCGGATAATCAAATATTCATAGTGTGTTGTATGTGTGACATATATTCCATTATGTAGGTCATAAAGTATTTTTGGAACATATCACACCAAGGACATACGTCATGTCTGCACCTTCATATGACATGTACGTAGCGGGACCAGACATGACCTCACTAATGTCATGTGGACTGTGAGGGCCATGAGTCGATCCTGTGTTTTTACCAGATTGAATATACAGCTAACATGCGGATAACATGTAGATAAAAAGAACACGGCATAAAGTAATTAAATATAAGTCACAATTTTTTTTAAATGTCTCCCTTGGAATGAGAAAAAAATGCAAATGGCTTTGCTTTAGACATTCAGAATGTACTTGGATAAAAAACACTTGATTCTAGCCATTTTTATCTCATTATTTGTATTTTTTTGTTGTTGCAGTGAATCATGTGTAAATCATATACTATTCTTTCATTTTCTGCTTTAAACCCAGAGAAACAGAAGCCTGAGCCACCGCAGCTGGTTCAGAAATGTCTCGATGTGAAGGGGCAGTGGCTCTACTTTGAGGTCCTCCATTGTGACAGAGTTGAAACAAACATGAGTAGCACATTGAGAACAATAAATGACTCCGGGGAAATTAGTTACTTTTTCTTCTAAAATTATATCTTTATCATTTCTTTGTAGTTATAATAATGCTACTAATTTTCAATTAAATTCAATGTATTCTTGTATAGCCCTAAATCACAACAGTAGGTATCTTTACAACTTTACAAACTTTACAAAACCATTGAATTCGCCAACACAGAACAGAGAATCAAACAAATTTCTTGTGTTTGAACGCAAGAAATTCAATGATGCCATTGGTCCATAAGGGGCAGATGTCCAACATGTGAACATTGCCCTAATGAAGCTGTGTGTGGCAGGTACTACTTGTGCCTGCAGCTGCGGAAGGACATCCTGGCCGGCCGTCTGCCCTGTTCCTTCGTCACGCTGGCGCTGCTGGGGTCCTACGCTCTGCAGTCGGAGCTGGGAGAGTACGACCCTGAGGTGCACCTGCCGGACTACGCCAAGAGCCTGAAGATCGCCCAGGGACAGACCCCCGAGCTGGAGGACAAGATGATGGAGCTGCACCGCACGTACAGGTGAGGAGGAGGGACCATGGGCTGAGGGAGGGGCAGAGGGGGAAGAGAGGAGAGGAGGACATGCAGGTGACGGGGAGGCAGTGAGGGGCTCTGGGGAAGAAGGGGAGAAGGAAGAGTAAAGGAGAGGGGAGCAATGAGAGGAGGAGAAGAGAAAGAGGAGAGGGGACAGAGGAGAGAGAAGAGGAGACTAGAGGAGAGGGGAGGGGAGAGAGGAGACCAGATAAGAGTAGAGGAGAAAGGAGAAGAGAGCAGAGGAGAGTAGGCACAGTATTTCAGGTTTGCACATTAGACTCACTGCAGACTCACATCTCCTCACTCCCACTGTCAAATCTAAGCACCGAACCTTGGGGGACCGAGCTTTCGCCATCTCTGCTCCCACTCTCTGGAACTCCCTCCCCCTCCATCTCAGAAACTCGGACTCTCTAAACTCCTTCAAAAAACAGCTCAGAACTCACCTTTTCCTCCGAGCATTTGAGTCTTAGTTTAAACTTTCTACCCTTCTTCCTCACTCTTCGATTTTTAGTTTGTGTGTCTGTCTAAACGTGTGTGTTTGTGTCATGAATTTGTGAAGCGTCTTTGAGTTCTTGAAAAGCGCTATATAAAACTGATGTATTATTATTATTATTACAGTATAAGAGTAGAGGAGAGAGGAGAAGAGAGCAGAGGAGAGTAGGCACAGTATTTCAGGTTTGCACATTAGTCATGCAGACAGGTGGTTTAGAGGACACAAAGACACAATGTTAGCACTCTGGCAAAATGGATTTCCACTACTACTACTACTACTACTACTTCTACTTTGGTTTACTGCTATTAAGTTTGTATAGTCATTCATACTCATAAGTATAAATTAGAGTACTCTAGACAAATCTACCATGGGTTGGGTTTTACTGTGGCCCCAGATATCGTACAGAGGTCTCCCATCCCAGCACTAGCTTCTGAGACCTGACCATCCATCACACCCCTGGACCATTAAGAGAACATTACAGTTATTTCAAAGTAACTAGTGCAGGCATTTAATGAGGGATTGAATTCAGGAGAATATAAGTGAGAAGCCCCTTATAAATGTGATATTACAATTTATTGTGTGTGTGCGTGTTTGTTTGTGTGTGTGTGTGTTGGGACAGAGCGATGAGCCCGGCTCAGGCAGATCTCATGTTCCTGGAGAACGGCAAGAAGCTGTCCATGTACGGAGTCGACCTGCACCAGGCCAAGGTACGGTCTTCTACACAGCTGACCAGACGCACACATATCTAGTTAACTATTGACGAAGTGTGTTCTATGGATATTGTTGTACTTTATTAGCTTCTGAAATCTTGATATTCTTCTGTCTGACACTGTAGAATCAGGAAGTACAGAAGTGGTCGCTTGAAATCCAGAATTTAACTTTATATGTGCATATGACCACTATGATAAAATAGTTACACATTATACATTCGTTTTGACCATTCAAAATAGTGTGTATGTTTATGTATGTCTGTGTATGTGGGTGTGTCTGGTTTGTGTGTATGTATGACGTGTGTATGTGTGCGTGTGTAGCAGCTGTGTGTGAGCTGCTCTTCGATAATGGAGTGCGTCACGCCTGCTGTCACTCATGTCGGTGGCTTACAGGGAAAACCACGTGACCCCAGACTCGCAAAAATAGGTCAATCTGGAGCAAGAGGAATTATTCCAGTGATTTTGAGGAGAGATCTGTGCAGCACTGCCCCCTGCTGCAGTCTCAGTGCAAGTGCAAGTGTTCTCCTATAACACAGGACTCAACCATAGACTATGGACTGTTCTGACCAGTGCACTCTGCGTCAGAACCCGCTCCTATGTCCATGTCCAAAACCTAAGAATACAAAACTACAAATTGATTTTAGTCAGGACAGAGGATAACCTGCCAACTTCATGTCCTCCCTTGAGAAGTTGTTTGTTTTTTGGACTCTATTGAATAGATTATGATAATAAATTAATAAATGTTGAGTGTGTTCTTTTACTGATTATGTGAGATCCTGCTGTTGCTGTACATTATTAACTTCTGAGATCTTTATATTGTTCTCACAAAATTAACAGTTTTGGAAAACCTGTTAGTAGTAACGTCACATCAGGTCCTTCAGTTGTGCTTGTGTTTCTTTTATAATAATAATGAATCAAGAAAACGCAACAGCAGCGTATCTTGTTACTTTTCAAATATGTGTAATGAGATACATGCCAAAATATGTCATATTTTTAAAGAAAACATAAAGAAATACACTACACTACCAAAGCCTTTTTCCCCTGAGTTTCCAACATCTAAAAGCTCTGCAGTGCGGTTGTTTTCAGCCAAATGCTTAAATAGTACTAATAAACAGAATGTGTTTTTGGAACGCTGACTGAGTATTGTGTGGGGCGTAGGACCTGGACGGGGTGGACATCATGCTGGGAGTCTGCTCCTCTGGACTCATGGTTTACAAAGACAAACTGAGGATCAACCGCTTCCCCTGGCCCAAAGTGCTGAAGGTGTCCTACAAGAGGAGCAGCTTCTTCATCAAAGTGCGGCCCTCTGAGGTAAAATCCATCTTCATGATCTACAACATGTTGTCCTCCTTTGTACATTTGAATTTCATGTATTTGGTAAAACCCCTTGAGATACAGCATCTAATTTTCAAGATAGATAGATAGATAGATACTTTATTGATCCCCCGTAGGAGAAATTCAGGTGTCCAGCAGCAGAAGACTCTTTTTTGTTGTTGTACAGTCAGTGAGGTTTGTTGTACAGTCTGTTTGTTGTACAGTCTGACAGCCGAAGGAACAAAGGATCTCTTGAAATGTGTCTTGAAAGAGTGTCCCATGAACATAAAACAAACACAATATATATAATACAAAACAGACAGATTACATATACAACACATACGAGTCAGGTTTGCTCCCTCAGACCTCCCTCCACACCCCTACAATAAAACTACATAAAAAAATGCATTCATTATTTCTGTATACAAAAATCAGATACAATCCATACAGCAGCAGGTAGAATAAAACAACTTAAATGGACAGGTATTACAAAATTGCAATATTTCCAGAGAAATTCTCGATTATGTACAAATTTCAAACACACGCAGTCTGGTGCATGAACACTGGGACTTCCACACGACTCCCACAATGGATTTAAAATGAATGAAACTTTAATTTGTATTATCCAAATCAGGTGAACAGAGTAGGGAATAATGCACAATTTAAGTGTGCTCAAAGATATTGGGACAAACTAACAAAGCTAAAAGCCATCAAACCACTTTTTTACTATTTCCTTCCCAACCCTGTACATGTGGATGAGAGCCTGAGTGAAGGCAGAGACATCAGCAGGTCTGAGTTTCAGCCTGCCAGGCCTCTTCCAAGTCAAACCTCCTCTAACATATGTGTCCTGTAGGTGGAGCTGTACGAAAGTGCCATTGGATTCAAACTGCCCAACTACAAAGCCGCCAAGAAGCTGTGGAAAGTGTGCGTGGAGCATCACACCTTCTTCAGGTCAGAACAGATCCAGACAACTGGGACAAGCACACCACAGTATATTACCCATACGTTTATGTTTACCTACTTTTACTGTTGTAGCCCTGGTACTAGCTGTGCCGTCTCCATTGACTTTACAGATGAATGTGTGTGTGTGTCTCCCCAGGTTAACCTCCACAGAGATGGCCACCACCCCCAGAAAGTTCCTGGCTCTGGGCTCCAAGTTCCGGTACAGTGGGCGTACCCAGGCCCAGACCAGGCAGGCCAGCTCCTTGATCGCCCGCCCCGCCCCCGCCTTCCAGAGGACAAACAGCAAGAGGAACTCCCGCAGTCTGGACGGAGGTGTGTGCTTGCACTTTGTGGCCATTACAATATAATTTCAATTTCAATTCAATTTAATTTTGTATATCCCTTAATCACAGCAGTAAATATCTAAATATTTATCGTTGGAGATGTACAACGATAGTGAGAGTGAAATAAATTGAAACCAAGTCTAAACCAAGTCTAAACCAGGTCTAAACTGGGTTTAAGACGTGCTGATGTCTTTTTGCATTTGCTCCTTTTGTGCTCCTATTACTAGTTTTCACTTGTATGTATTTCTGGTCTCTGTCAGCTTTCTGTTGGAAAAAGCATAATGTGTTTATGAAACCAAAAATAAAAGAGTGAGAGCTGAGTGGTTAGCACTCTTGCTCCTGGATTTAAATCACAGTCGGAACAGGGCCTATAGTTGTATTAAAAACATGTCAAAAAGGTATAATATTCCAACTACAGTCCTGAGGTCCTCGGGTGTGTTACTACGGTGACTACTGTTTCTGACAGAGGCTCTGGAGGCATGGGTCGAACACAGGATGAATCTCCAACAATAAAGTAGCACTTTCTGTCTTCATTGAATCTTCAATCAGTGTTGATATTTTGATTTTACTAGAAGTATAAGGATGAGCTGTGTGTGAGTGTGTGTGTTTCTGTTTGTGCATTGTTGTGTGAGTGTGTGTGTGTGTGTGTATGTATGTGTGGAGCTGTGTATAACCCTGTGTCATGTGCCCCCTGTGCTCAGCCATGGCCTCCACTCCAGACAACAAGTCGTCCCGACCGGTCAGTGCGCCCGTCATGTCCCCTGTGTCGCCCGGTGAAGCCACGCCCTCCCCGCTCCTGCCCGCCCTCCGTCACCTTGCTGACCAGCTCGACGGCTCCACTCCCAAGAGCCGGCGCTCCGCTGACCGCAGGAACGAGGTCCGGACCGACCGGCACTCGGACTCAGCCAGGAGCAGTCCCAGGCTGGACTTCACCCCCGAGCTCAAGGTGAGAGTGAAATATTATTATTTGTATTATCTTTGACAAAACAATGATCTTTAAGACTGATACATGTAGTGCTCACTTTATCAGCTTTGGCAGATTTCTTGATTTTTCAAAAAAAAAAAATCTGTTTTTGTTTTTTTTCCTGTGAAATTATGCAGATGATTTTACATCAAAACATAGATTTGGTAAAAGCTGCTAAAATTCACTTGCATTGGCTTTTTAGGCCATTTATGTTGGCGGAAGTACTGTCTCATTTCATTTTCCTTTCCTGCACAAAGCTTGGTCCAGAACTTTTCATTTCCTCTTAAACATATTTCCGTCCATGTCTGATGAGGTCATTGCTTTTATCCTTTTCTTTTCAAATATAGAGACTGAGGACTGCTACATAGTGTTCCACAATAGAATATAATATCAGTAATGTGTAACGAGAACAATCACATACAACACTAAAAGAGAGACATTCAAGAGTAAAAGGCGGCCCTATTAAAAACTATTAGACATTATATACATAAAGTGTTGCTACGAGTTTAGCAACATTTATAGTTGACAATGATTTTGATTGCTTTTAGTATTTTTCCACTGCTGAAAGACGCCTTGAAGCAGAAGCAGGAAAATGTGGTTATTGAAGCACTTCCATCGTGCCATCCAGCCAACTTCAGCTCCACCAATGAGTCATTCAATACCTCGTTGTAAAGTTCAGCACCTTTGTAATCCAACATTATTTTTATACATACTTTTGCTTTTTTGATTGTGCCAAAAAAGATGATAAAGCACTATTGTAGCTGTGGTGTGAATAAATATGGGCATGATATCTGACCCCATTTTAAATCCCAAAAACCGCCCGAATCCAGTCAAAAAAGGTTTAAAAATCCGGGTTGTTGGCTCCTGGATGATTCTTGCTCTCTTACTAACAAGTATGGAAACACCTGCTCTAAAGCATGCTCTAAAACTGTGCTGATAGTGCTGTGTTTTTGGATTTTCAACAGATTTAACCCAGAAATGTCATTGTTTTTTTGTTGTTTTTTCATGTTGCGTTTGAAGTTTTTTAATAGACGCACTTTAAGATCTATTTTAAGGCAATGGCAGCTTTAGAAATCCAATTATAGGCCCGTCAAACCAAGCAGCAGCAGCAGAGCGAGCGAGGTGAAGGCTGAACACACTACACAGGATTGATTTGATCTAAGAAATAAAGAAATTAGACTTGCATTAAAGTTAGGGTACCTGACTTTAGCTGGATGGATACAAGTCTTATAAAAATTATGTTTTGAACAAATCAGACCATAGTGTGCTTCGTCCCTTTAGAAAACATGTTATGGTTTGCATACCGCTGAGAAAGAACCCTGTGAGTCACTATTTAACTCTTTTGGCTGAGAGCTGATTGGCTGGGTGAAGGTGCTCTCTTTTCAACAACAAAAAATTGGAAGATCCAACCAAAAAGTCATGAAGTCAAAAACTAGTGCTTGAAGCGAACTGGTTTGAGAGCGAGGAATTACAGACATAGATTTTATTAAGTTATTTCATTTATTCGTGGAAAGTTGGGTACCCCAGTTTTAATTTATTATGTTGAAATATCAGCAGCCTCAGTGTCTGGAATTTCTTGAATTTGGGGTCAACAGGAACTAACAGCAGTGACATTATTTAGACTAAACCACAGCATAATAATGATAAAAAGGCATTTGTTTTATATAGCGCTTTTTGGACACTCAGATGCTTCATATGTCATTATTCTTTCTCCACTATTGTAGATACAGCTGCCCCGAGGCACACTGACATCATTCAAATTTGAGGGAAAATGATTGCATGATTCCACAACTTTACGTATGTACTGTATGTGTGTAAATGTAAGGAGGAGGCCAAAACGTTGAAAAATTGTCTCTATAAGAACAAAATCCAGGTCGGAAGTCATTTGAAAGTGGAGCGCCAGGATGTGCTTGAGCTGGGGCCGGTGCTGACTGTGCTGTGTTGTGGTCAGTCAGTGTCCAGGAAAGAGAGGAGGCACTCCCCCTCCCAGAGCTCTGCCCCCAGAGGACAGCGGGACAGGACACAGGTTTGTCTGCCCTCGAGACGCCTGCATGAGCACTGCACTGTGGGGAACAGCACCACATGTAGACGTCACACTCACAGGCCACTTTTAGAATTATGTATTTATCTGTTTGTTTGTACGGATGGATGGGTTTCTGCTAGTGGACACCTGAATTTCTCCTACACGGGATAAAGTATCTAAGTATCTATCTTTCTATCTATCTATCTATCTATGTCTGTCTGTCTGTCTCTCTTTCTTTCTCCCTCTCTCTATGTATCTCTCTCTCTCTTCCTCTCTCTCAATCTCACAGGGAGTGTACTGCATGGCAACTTCAGGAGACAGGCATCACACAGTCAACCCCTTATTAACTTTGAAAAATGATTTGCGCGATAATAGCTTGTTATTTTTATCTTGTAAAATTCACCAATAAATAATTCATGTGTGTGTGCGTGTGTGTGTGTGTGCGTGTGTGTAGCACTCGCCTCAGGACAAGAACAGAGACATAATGAGACGGAAGGTCAGCCCCGTTGACCCTGTGTGTCCATACTATGGTCCAAACACACGGACATGAGCCGCCTGCAGCCTGAGTCCATATTCTGTCATATCACCCTGTCCTTCTGTCAGATAATGGACCAGCTCTTCAAATCCTTCAGTGTTTCTTTATTGTTTTTTGCATTGGAAAAAAGAAAAGGTTTAGATTAAGAGATCCTTTATGCTTGTGTTGCAACAATCAAATTTAAGATACAAAACAGTAGGAATGAGAAGCACACAGCACAAGACTATTGGTCCTCCCAATTCTCAATCATTCTGGTGATATGTGCTCGTTAAATAAGACCAGAGAGTTTAGTTCAAAAAGTTGAGAGGGCGGTTCTTTCATAAAATTTAGGAAAATTCTCCTATATATCTTTAAGTGTAGCTCAAGCTAAAGACAAAGAACGGTATAAAAGTTACAATGTATAAAAAAAAAACTTCAAAACATGTAAGGTATAAACCTGTCCACTCTATTCTAAAGCAAAGAAATATATACCTGTATGTATATATCTGTGGGTGAATCTGTAATACACTATCGCCTTGCACTAGATAGTTAAACACTTATTGAGCTTAGATATGTTTATTGGAGGGAAATGTGAGCCATCCTGCATCTGCCACTAGAGGGAGTCATAGCGGTGAGTCAGACTGAGTTCCATCATCACCTGTGGACAGATCTCAGAAAGAGTCCTCCTCAGACAGGAGCAGTGCCGTTATTATAAGGCCCAGTCCCAATACCCACACTGCACCCTACACACCTCTACGAAGTGTGCATTTGTTCGAAGTGCACACCAGGGTTGGAGTGCGCAGGTTACAAGTGTGCAAAAAAGGCGGAATTGGGACAGTGCACACTGAGTGCAGGTTACGTCATCGACTCGTCAAGAGATGGTCATTTTCAGACCTAAACTTTATAAACATTAAAGGTAATTTTGTCTGACCCTTTGGGAAACAAAATGAATTGGTTCACACACGTTAAAATACATGTATATTAGTTGTTTTTAATTAGAGATAGCTGTATAATTTTAAGTTAATTTTTATGTGGGTAACTATCTGGTCAGTTTTTATACATTCTAAGATTATTGTAATAAGTGTAAAGTTTAAATTGAATGTTATATAAACGCTTGCTTTAAAATGTATTACATTGTTAAAACACAATGTCCGTAATTCTTCATCAGACGTTTATGTTTCTTTCCAAGTAACATAGCAAAACTTATTTACACACATACTGCATATATATTTCAAAATTTGCATTTTCCCGACGTTTTGGTGTGTACCGCAAAGAATTATGGGCAATATCCTTCGCCAGAGGAGTCTTCTCCGGGAGTACGGGGTCGGAGGTCCTCTGCTGAGGGCCATCCGATCCCTGTATGACCGGAGCCAGAGCTGTGTTCGCATTGCCGGCAGTAAGTCAGACCTGTTCCCGGTGAATGTTGGCCTCCGACAGGGCTGCCCTTTGTCACCGGTTCTGTTCACTGTATTTATGGACAGAATATCTAGGCGCAGCCAGGGGTCGGAGGGGGTCCGGTTCGGAGACCACAGGATTTCATCTCTGCTGTTTGCGGACGATGTTGTCCTGTTGGCTCCAACGAACCAGGACCTGCAGAATGCACTGGGGCGGTTTTCAGCCGAGTGTGAAGCGGCTGGGATGAGAATCAGCACCTCCAAATCCGAGGCCATGGTGCTCGACCGGAAAAAGGTGCCTTGCCCTCTGCAGGTGGGTGGAGAGGTCCTTCCTCAAGTGGAGGAGTTCAAGTATCTCGGGGTCTTGTTCACGAGTGAGGGGAGGATGGAGCGTGAGATTGACAGGCGGATCGGTGCAGCGTGCGCAGTTATGCGGTCGCTGTATCGGACCTTTGTGGTGAAGAGGGAGCTGAGCCGAAAGGCAAAGCTCTCAATTTACCGGTCAATCTTCGTTCCCTCCCTCACCTATGGTCATGAGCTTTGTGTAATGACCGAAAGAACGAGATCGCGGATACAAGCGGTCGAAATGAGCTTCCTCCGCAGAGTGGCTGGGCGCTCCCTTAGAGATAGGGTGAGGAGCTCAGTCACACGGGAGGAGCTCGGAGTAGAGCCGCTGCTTCTCCACGTCGAGAGGAACCAGTTGAGGTGGCTCGGGCATCTGTTACGGATGCCTCCTGGACGCCTCCCTGGGGAGGTGTTCCGGGCACGTCCCACCGGGAGGAGGCCCCGCGGAAGACCTAGGACACGCTGGAGGGACTATGTCTCTCAGCTGGCCTGGGAACGCCTTGGGGTCCCCCCGGATGAGCTGGAGGAAGTGTGTGTGGATAGGGAAGTCTGGGCGTCTCTGCTTAGACTGCTGCCCCCCGCGACCCGGCAACGGATAAAGCGGAAGAAAATGGATGGATGGATGGATCCTTCGCCAGAGTGCGCATAGATGCAGGCTACGGCGAAGTGTGGATCAGGGGCGAAAAGGGGGCGGGGCCAAAGACCTCCCTGGAGAATTGGGACACCCTACGCACTCGCACACTTTATCGGGAACGCGCAAATGAGGGGCGCGAGGGTGGAAGTGCGAGTATTGGGACGGGGCCTAATAGATCCATGAGCAGTGCGCACAAGAAAAGGGACCAGACTCCAGCAGCAGAGGAGGGGCCCCGGTACAGGAAGTGGAATTAACCTAGGGCTGGGCGATATGGCAAAAAAGTTAAATCTCGATTTTATTTCCTGTTTTGGACGATTTCGATTTTAAATCGATTTTCATTAAAGTCACTGAAGACAGACTTTGCCCTTAAAATATTTTTTTATCTTTCCGCTTAATATTCAAGTTTCGAAAGTATTTTTAATTTGTTTCCCCCAATACGTATTATAAAAGTCCTGTACAGACTATGCTGATATTGAAAGTATAATTCATGTGTTGCAGGAACTCTCACAATATCCTTCATTCGATTTCACAATTTTCACATTTTTCACAAATTCAATTTTTTCAAAAGCCGATTAATTGCCTAAATTCGATTTATTGCCCAGCCCTAAATTAACCTCATATATGTTGACCTCCAAATAGTTGAGGGTACTAGTCATTTTGTCCAATATATTCATGAATGATAATATTTCACTTTCTGTTCTCTATTTTGTTTTTATTGCAATTGATGATATTTTTTAGAATACAGGTATACAGAAGGATTGAAAAAATTATATTTCCTGGTCAAACTGGACCGATATCTAACAGAAGCACAAGGCTTTTGGTCATGCCCTCTGCCCACTGCCCTCTGCCCTCTGCCTACTGCCCTCTGCCCTCTGCCTACTGCCCTCTGCCCTCTGCCCACTGCCCTCTGCCCACTGCCCTCTGCCCACTGCCCTCTGCCTTCTGCCCTCTGCCCTCTGCCCTCTGCCCACTGCCCTCTGCCTACTGCCCTCTGCCCTCTGCCTACTGCCCTCTGCCCTCTGCCCTCTGCCCACTGCCCTCTGCCCACTGCCCTCTGCCCACTGCCCTCTGCCTTCTGCCCTCTGCCCTCTGCCCTCTGCCCTCTGCCCACTGCCCTCTGCCTACTGCCCTCTGCCCTCTGCCTACTGCCGTCTGCCCTCTGCCTACTGCCCTCTGCCCACTGCCCTCTGCCCTCTTGCTCTCATGCTGCCTTTGTGTGCTCTGGTAAAGATGATCCTTTCCCCTTGTGAACGGGTCATTAAAGGTGTGTTCAGGGCTTTTGTTGTTGTAAGTAAAACGTATTCCCCTGTAGCACAGTTGAGCCATCAACATTTCTTCTTTATCGGAAACAAATTCCACCAACTTGTTTTGTGGTCAATATTGAATGATTCTGATTCTGATTGAATAGATCTGACAAACTGGGGCACAGCTTTCCTGGTTTAGATACTTGCATTGTTGAAGTCAGTGTCTGTGACTCCTAAGTTTAATGGCTATGTCTAACTCATTTATTATCAAACAGCACTTGACATGGACATGTGCACATTTGGCTAAAAGTGTGTTTTTCGCAATAAAACTTTGACCACCATTTTGAAGGTCAGTGATGCGGTTGCTGTATTGGACTGTTGTGGTGAAGAGGGAGCTTAGTCAAAAGGCAAAGCTCTCAATTCACTGCTCGGTCTCTGTCCCCTCCCTCACCTCTGTTCATGAGCTTTGACCAAAACTATGAGATCACAAAGTGGTCTATATTAGTTTCCTCCGCTGCCCTAGAGTTAGGGGGAAGAGCTCAGTCGCACGGGAGGAGCTCGGAGTAGAGCCGCTGCGGAACCAGTTGAGGTGGCTCGGTCATCTGTTCCGGATGCCTCCTGGACGCTTCTCTGGGGAGGTGTTCCGGGCACGTCCCACCAGGAGGAGACCAGAGGAAGACCCAGATCACGTTGGAGGGACCATTGCTCTCAGCTGGGAACGCCTCAGGATCCCCCAGATGAGCTGGAGGAAGTGTGTGTAGATAGGAAAATATGGGCATAAAGTGAAAGACAACAGATGAATGGGGGCTATTTGAATTCGGAAACACAGACCTCAAAATAATCTCTCATTTCTTCAGTAGAAAATACGAGTTGGAAAGAACTAGATGTGAAATGTGGTGTTTACCATAATTGCCAGAGCACATAAAGGCACCATTCAGCCTGCTGCATGACTACAACTGCTCACTCTCACTGACTGAATACCACTGCTTTTCAATCTAAAAGTGTTTAAATGAGTCGTTTCTGTTGGAATCGTTGGCATTGCTTTGCTGCTGCTGTGACCACATCGATGCTCTCCTTCTCACGTTTCCCACCAGGCTGCTGACCGTCCATTTGGTCATGTTTTGGCCTGGGTCACCTGGCATGATGTCTGCACCATGTTGTGATGACTTAACGCTGGTTTTTGTTGTTTTTGTTCAAAATACCCTCTGCAGAGTCTTTATACAGTCCAGCTTGTGAAGTGGATTTCCTCTCCACTTCTTCTGTGTAACTGTTATAATCCTGGTGGAAAGTGAGGTGTACAAATGCATACAAAAAACTATTTCCTCCATTCCAATTGGACAACCAAAAACGATTTAGGAAATGTAATTCAGCATTTGTAGTGGACAATGAAGTCTAGCTTGAGAGCTAAAATGCAATTATTCTACTCTTTCATGCGCTTTACTCTTACTCTAAAATTGAAAAAAAATTTCAACTGTACAAAACAAATCCCTTTCCACCTAATGTTTTTATTTTTGTCTCTCATATATCAATTATTATTGCTGTACTTAACATTTCATTTATTGGCTGATCTTGGTGACAGTGTCCTGCTGCAGGACCGCTACACTTTGGGATGGAGTGGGGGCAAAAGAGATCATTGTAACATTTTTTTTATTTTGTATCATTTCTTAAGTGTATTTTCAAATAGAAACAAACAAAACAAGCACGAACACAGGTCCAGTGCAGAAACACAAAGGTAAAACAAATCAGGCTTATTGTTCTGTGGATTCGAGCTCAGGATCGCTCCCCGCAACGCCAGCAAACGGCAGAATCAGACCGCGAGTGAGGAGGCTTCCTTCTTGTAGCCCATCCATTTTCTACCCTTTAATCCATTTCTGGGTCAGGGGGGTGGCAGTCAGAGATGCCACCCCCTTCTTGTAGCAACCGTCTTTTTGGCCGCTGTGAGACCCGCCAAAGAACCCCTTGTTTTGGCCTGTTCAGAGAGTCAAGAAAAATCATTCAATTTGATGAAATTCAATGAAGTTTTTTTTTGTAGCCCAAAATCACGACAAGACGTTGTTTTGGACAGGACGCTTTAATTTCAATCCCACATCCAAAATAACACCAAGTTTGCTTATTTTCATCTCCGCAATATTAACCGCCTCCGTCCCTCCCCCACTGTGCATACTGCTGCAATCCTTGTCAATAGCCTGGTCACATCAAGACTTGATTATTGCAACTCCATTCTTCATGGAATCCTTTTGCAACACACACAACCGACAAAACATACTTTGGTTGGACTCTCATTTCCATAACATGGCCACGAACAGACTTGCACTTAAGCAGAGCTGCTTTAAAGTCTATTCACTGAGCCACAGGAAGCCAGTGCAGAGAACTTAGAACTGGACTTATGTGATGGTACTTCCTGGTTCTAGTCAGGACTCCAGCTTCAGTGTTTGGAAAATACTGCAGCTGTTTTTCAGTTAGTCTTTCTAAGTCAGTTTTACACCAAACAAAAATATGGTGAGAGTTTCTGAAGCAATTACACTTCACTCAAACTACTCTTTTGCCTCCATTCAGATGCATTGTGGAGTTTGCATATGAGAGCTGGTTTTACAGGACTCATCCAATCTTGGTATTTCGCCCAAGGCAGCAAGACCTTTTTCATGTTGTGACCATATTAAACTAAAATTAAGGTTTGAGGGTTACAATCAGGTGATCAAGTTCAGGGTTTGGCTTGCTTCCCACGGAACGAAATACCTAGATTTTCAAGACTGTTCTCACGAGTGGCTGACTGACCATGTGCTTCCTCTGCAGAAACGTGCTAAGAAACTGGAAGGAGAGACTATTTATATCAGACATAGCAATCTGATGCTGGAGGTGGGTTCGCCGACACTCGTATCTCAATCTTGTCTTTTCTTTTGTTTTCTGCTGTTTTTGTTTCGTCTCAAAGCTGAATCCCAAAGGCCTGGCATGCACCATCTTCATGTCTGACTCTCATGCAAGTAGCTCCATTCTTTGTTCTACTCATTTTCTCCTCCTCCAAAGCACCAAAGCATGGCTGGGAGATGGGGATAATAAGATGTCGAAATGTCAACTTTTATCTGCGGAACTGTCTGCCTCGAATTCGTTCTTTTTAATTGGTTTACTTGGAAGCAGAGAGACAATTGCGTGCGGGTGTGGGAAAGCGTGGCTGGTGTGTGATAAATATCCCTAAGCCTTATTTGTCTTGAGTACCCACATTTTTGTCACACTCAAATGTTATGATTGTGTTTTCCTAAAATATTCACAAAGTTGGGGTACCTGACTTTCAAACCACAACAAAATATAAATATGCAGTTAAAGTTCCTCGCTCTCAAAGCAGTTTGTTTCTATCACTAGTTTTCACATGTATTCCTGTCCTCTGTCACACCTTTAGATCAGCTTTTTCCGAAAAAAAAAAAAAATGAAAAGAGAGGACTACTCTCACCCAACCAATCAGATTTCAGCCCAAAGCATCAAATAGTGACTCACAGGGCTCTTACAAATATGTAATCTACTAAGGCCTTGTGTCTGATTTGTTCACAAGCAAAATTTTGCTTTTTTAAAAGATTGTAAACAGTCTTAGTTCCCCAAGGTGTCCCTGTTCCCCTGATTGTGATACACTGCTGTGTAGTTTTTCTATATGACAAGTAGGGATGTCCAATATTGGCTTTTGCCAATATCCGATATGCCGATATTGTCCAACTCTCAATTTTCGATTCCGATATCAGCCGATACCGATGTCGATATGTGGATTATTTTTCCTCAAAAGTAATTTAGGTAACATCACATATCTCCTGTTGTGGAATTAACACAACATGCTTAATGTTATTGTGATGCCCCATTCTTGAATGCAACAAGGCTTTCCAAATGTTAACATTGTCTGTGCAAAATAAGAAAAAATACTTCAACTTAATTTGGGAAAAAGTGCCATGTTTATTTTTATTTTTTTACAATTGTCTCAAACAACAGTTTGGATTACACACTCCCTGAGATAACGCAACAAATAAAGCAAATTTGACTTCAATGTGGCAACTATACTGCACAATTTTGAAAACATTTGTTTGAGCTACAAAAAATACTTCAAAATAGGCAGGTTGTAATTATCATTAAGCATTATTATTGGTTTTAAGGCAAAAACATCCTATAGCGATATTAACCGATATTACATTTTTATGCTAATATCGGTGGGCCGATATTATCGGACATCTCTAATGACGAGTATGAACAAAATCACAACGATTTTTTACTCACACAATGTTTGGGAAATGTGTTTGGAGCTCTGCAGTGTGCAAATGTTTTTAATACAAACCCTGTCTTCAAGTCATGCCTTCTTCCCCCGCTCTTATCCATTCACTGCTCCTGTGTGTGTGTGTGTGTGTGTGTGTGTGTGGGTGTGTGCGAATATGAATACATGTGTGTATGAAAATTTTAATCTGAAACATCACACAAATATATGTTTGTACAAATATATCTTTCTTCCAAATAAAAAACAAACCCTTTCACCCACATTGTCTATTATGAGACTGGAGAATGGTCAGTCAATGAGATTGGTCATTCTGAAAAAAGATTTCAGCCTTTTTCACCCAATATGAATGGGTTAAAAACAACCATTTTACAATAGTTTGTTTAAACTAAAATATTGGTTGGACTCATTACTAACAACTAGATCGTTTGATTTTATGTAGTGGCCTGGTCACTCTCTTGATGTTGATGAGTCTGAAAAGGGTACTTCATGATACTAAATAACTAATGACTAATAAACACTGTCCATCAGAATTCTTCTGATATTCAAATATATACACCATCCACTATAGTGGTGTGACATTAAAGCATTAAGTTTTCCAAACCTGTACTGACTCAGGACCACAGCATTATTGGACTAGCACCACCCATCTTCTTACACTTCTTATTCCTTTGACGACCCGGTCCTAATCCAACGCTCTGTTCTGCTCAGAGGGGCAGACTGTAGCTTTTATTTCTTTTCCACTCTGTCGTCACGCTCCTAAGGCCCTATAGTCTCCTCCTCCCTCGGCCCTGTGTGGCCCCCCTGTCCCTCAGCACTGCTCCCCTGAACCCATCTCCCTGTCCCCTGACCCCTCTCTCTGTCCCCTGACCCGTCTCTCTGTCTCCTGACCTGTCTCTCTGTCTCCTGACCTGTCTTTCTGTCCCCTGACCCGTCTCTCTGTCCCCTGACCCGTCTCTCTGTCCCCTGACCTGTCTTTCTGTCCCCTGACCCGTCTCTCTGTCCAGGACGTGGACAAGACGCAGACGGAGAGTATGCGTCACCACAGCAGCATCAGTGAGCTGAAGAGGAGCTTCATGGAGTCTGTGCCCGAGCCGCGGCCCAGCGAGTGGGACAAGCGCCTGTCCACCAACTCCCCCTTCAGGACGGCCCGCATCAACGGACAGCTGCCGCCCGCTGTGAGTGTGCCCAAGCACCTATGCACCCAGGCACCCATGCACCGCAGAGCCGACGCATCAGCAGCTAATCTTACCTCACGTCAACATACAAGCACCCACACTACTCACGTCAACATACAAGCACCCACACTACTCACGTCAACATACAAGCACCCACACTACTCACATCAACATACAAGCACCCACACTACTCACATCAACATACAAGCACCCACACTACTCACATCAACATACAAGCACCCACACTACTCACATCAACAAGTACCCGCACTACTCACATCAACAAGTACCCGCACTACTCACATCAACAAGCACCCACACTACTCACATCAACATACAAGCACCCACACTACTCACATCAACAAGCACCCACACTACTCACATCAACAACAGACAGGCACCCACACTACATCAACATACAAGCACCCACACTACTCACATCAACAACGGGTCACCAGCCTGGGTATTTTGACAGTTGGGCGTGTTGTGAAAGGGCAAAAGAGATGAAAAAGGGGATCATAATGAGTAACAATCTATGATGTGCTACAGGTGGTCAAAAGTATGAAAAATCTGATATTATTTGATGCTAAAACTAGTATTGAAACTAAAATAAAAATATATGAACTGAGGTTGTCTGAGGATTTGAATCATTTTGATCTCAGACTTAGTATAAAGCTTGAGGTACCATTCAAAAGTTAACTGATGTTGTATTATTCACAGTCGAAAATATTTAGTATAGCAAAAGATTCTATTTAGATTATCCCTGCCGGATCAAAGTTGGTCTAATTATGTTTTTTTTTTATTTTGTCTTTCTTAGTGTAGTATTTGAGATAGTGATTTTAGTATTGTGGACAACACCACAGGTCACAAAAGCTCGGCTAAGATTGTGTCAAAGATGTGTCCGAAGAAGAAATTAATTAAGGCCAAGTCACCAAGACAAAGCCATGTGTAGCCTGGACTCTCACTAATGTGTAAACTTGACAATATACCCCAATTTACAACAGATTCAAGTCAAATAATGTAGGCGTGTAACTGCGCCTGATTAAGATTAAGATTAAGATATCCTTTTTTCAAACAATAATTGTATACTAAATAAAATAAAATGAAATAACAAAATAACGAACTAATTAGATAATAAAAAGAAGTAGTATAAAATCTCTATTCATAGCTTTATAAGAACAGACGTCTAAAATCTCTGACTTAAGTATGATGAAGAAGCAAGCATAAGATACTGTATATTGTGCAAATAATATATAGTTGTGTGTATACATCTTTATAGTTGATATACTCAGTAACTTTTGCGCTGAACATGTGCTAAAACTACCTTGTGCAGATTATAATAATAACAACGGTAATTATACATTTCGTTCATATTGGACCTTACATTTCCACAAAACCTCAAAGTGCTACAAATTGAAGTACCATACAACAAACAAAAATGACAGAAACAACATCAAACGTACATACAGAGTGGGGGTTAGTTACATTTTATGGACTGGTGACCCCTGTTCTACCCTGGCACTCACTCACCCAAGCAAGCACCCAAGCAAGCACCCAAGCACCCAAGCACCCAAACACCCACATTGCGCTGCTGCTGTGCTCACCCGGCCTGGCTCATGACCAAAATGCAACTCACAACTGCATTTGAAGCTGCTTTTACTTGGCGCACAATACTGTTAACAGCTTTTTAACACACACACCCCGCCTTTGCTCTGGGTTTGATACACTCTGGAATAATCTTTGATGCTCTTGTGTGTAAGAACATACATCCTGTGTTCGCATAACCGAGAGGGAAGATATGAACCAGCTGTGGCCTTACTGATTTATTGCTTGTATATCTTTTGGCCACTGGATGGTGCTGTTGGCTTGTCACTGGCGCTTTGCTTGAGCATGTCACGTTGCTGTGTTTCTGATGGGAGCCGTTGCTGACGCTGGTTTGACGCGTTTGTTTATAAATTCCATGGCAACTGGATGGAACTCACATGGAGCTTTTGACCAGGGGGCATATTCTATATTCTTTCTGCCTTGTCCTCCTCCTCAAAAAATCTCAGTGATTTGTGATTGAAGTGTTTAAGACTGACCTGTAGTATCATGCAATGACACCCATGGATCCATTTTTATTTTCTGTTTTGAAAGCCAGCACACATTTTCCATTCATTCACAGAAACTTAGATATGAGATTCCAATGACAACTGAGGCGTTCTAATTGCTCTGTTTGCCACTTGTGTCAAAAACATAGATTGATGATTAGAAAACCCTTGTGCATCGATTGGAGGAAGCTTCACCACTGCTTTAAAGAAGGCTCCGTCAAGTTGTTTAAGTATCTATAATCTGTTTTGCACGAGACAGGTGAGACTGAAACATTATAAAAGTAGATTCACAGAGTTAGCTCCAAATTACAGAATGATACGGTGAAAAACGAAACAACACCTTAAAGCTGCATTACCTCACTTTATTATTGTATTCATTACGAAAATTCAATCCATATCAATGCAGTGCATTGGGATATAATGTACGTCCTTTTGAAGAAAAAGTAGCGCAGGTTTGTGCTGGTGTGGCATTTTCTTTTAGATTGAGTTTTCGTGCGACAAGGAAGAGAAATTGGGCCTCATTCACGAATAACTTCGTAAGAAACTACTCAACTTTCTTCTCAAGTTGTCCTTAAGTAGATTTCTAAGAAGTCCCCACGTGGGATTCATCAACGCACTCGTAAGCCGCTGAATTGTTCGCAGCTGTTCTCTCAGATTGATGAATCCCATTTCCTCGTAAGTACAGCGCGCGTGCCCGGTGCTTCATTACCATAGGTACTTAGCATAAGTAACCGCCCACTAATGCCCATATAAGGGACTGCAGGGCCGTGTGCAGACGCCAGAGGAAACAGCAACAGGCCTAAAGCAGGCTTTTGCCAGACTGAGAATAAAGTTATAAAATGTTGACTTAAAAGTCGAAATATTATGATTATAAAGTCGAACTAGCAAAATTATGAGATTAATCTAAGAATATGATGAGATTAATCTCAAAATGTTATGAGCTTAATTTAAAAATATATTATGTATTATTTTAAAGATGAATCTCAAAATGTTTTGAGATTTATCTCAAAATATTTTGGACCCTGGGAGGAGATCCAGCGCGGACCAGCGCTGAGACCAATGCAGACCCGAGGAGAGACTGGAGTGACCAGCACACAGAAACCAGCGCGGACAGGAGAGACCGCATAGACTGGAGACACCTGACTGGAGAGACCGGTGCGCAGAGACCAGCGCGGACCGAAGAGAGACCGCATAGACCAGACTTGAGAGACCAGCGCGGACCCGTATGGATCCATGGGAGACACCAGCGCAGACCCGTATAGATCCATGGGAGAGACCAGTGCAGACCCGTATAGATCCATAGGAGAGACCAGCGCAGAAACTCAGCGCGGACCCAGTAACCTCCTGCAGCAGCAGTATATATGCCGTTGTTCTGTGGCCCGTGGATAAAGAAATGCCCCCTATAAATAGGAAGGGGTCACTAATACACGGCAAGATTTCCAATGTATTTGATAAAGCGTTGGCACATTTCATTTCAAAATGAATTAAAAAGTAGGCCAGATCTGCAGTGAAAAAGGCGGTATATAAATAAAGATTACTAATAAAGATTACTACAAATAAATAAATACATACATCGATATGACGGACATATCACTGGAATGTTGTATTTTTATTCAACTTCACCAAAGAGGACAACCCCGGCGTGTGAACATGTCGGCACTGAATGCGTACGAGTGCTCCTGAGGACTCGTAGGATTTGTACTTGCCCAAGTGAAATTCTGGTTACGAGAAATATTCGTGAATGCCACTTTCTTCGTAAAAACCGCGTAAGTAGGATTTACGTACAAATCTGTTCCTAAGAACCGTTCGTGAATGAGGCCCATTGTTTTTTGGGTCCAGATTGTGACCAATCACAGCGGACCACTGTCCCCCACTTTCTTGAGAAAAGCTACAGGTCTCTTGTTAGCACAGACAGCAGAGGTAAACAAGCGGCAGAGTCTAACCTGAAGCCGCCCGTGTTTTTGTTACCGGTTACTGCTTACACAGCGAAACATCCAAAAGAAAGTCTCGTTCCTCCGCGCTTCCCTGTTCTATTATTCTATCGTCACGCCATCCACGTTCAAATATGCAATCCATATTGTGAGACGTGAGCTTCGTATACAAATAGCATGTGAGCACAAGCTGAGGGGGAGGGGGGTAGTGGGGGGCGATATCTTCGTGAGTGCGGGGAGGCGAGCAGAAAGAGCAAGGCCAGCGCTCATATTCGAAAATTTCACAAAGTGAGTTAGTGCAGCTTTAAAGCATGTTACAACATTCGCCCTTCATCCAAAAGTTTAGATACATTGACGCTGATATCAGAATCTTCTGGCGTAAACATGTCGCTCTGCCCCTTCTGTCTAAAAGCTCCTGTCTCAGTTCTTTATAATTAAGATGAATTAAGATAAAGAGTTCCTTTATTTGTCCCACAGTGGGGAAATTTCAGTGTTGCAACAGTAGGAAGGAGGGGCACACAGCACAGTATAATAAAGGTAAAGGAAAAGCAGGTATAAAATGTAGGTATATTCTCTACCAGTATTTGCAGCCGGTAATGTTCTTATTTGGGGGGAAAAAACTAAAACATTCAACATCTCCCTCTGGTCGTAGCTCTGAAAGGGATGGAGCAGAGCGATAGCATTTTTTACCCTTCATACTCGTGATTACATAATTTTGATATTATTTCACATTCTAAAACATAATAATAAGAAGTGTATTGTCTCCTTATTTTTTTTTCATGGCCAAAAACAATGCATAATATTTCTTCTTTAAAGAGCGACTAAACACCTGTGACCAAATGTTCTCTGAAAAGGGCGTTGCCTGGAGGACCAAGGGACAAGAAGGGGGGCTTAGAGTTGGGCGTGGTCTGGGCTGTGATTGACAGCTCACTTGTCACACAAAAAAAAACCAGACAGTTGTCATTGCTTCTTAAAGCAA